TTAAATTCTTTTTTTTTTTTTTTTTTTTTTTTTTTTTTTTTTTGCCTTTGTGGCTATTGGCTATTTTGAGGAAATCCTCTTCAATCTGTCCAATTTAGTTTAGTTCTTTTTTTTTTTGAAATATATTTCTAGTTCTTTCCTATTTGCTCTCTCAACTGTCCTATTTCATACAATTATATATATATATATACATATATATTAAAAAGCTGTCCTATTTTACAATCTTTTAAACCCTTTTAGCTAGTTTCTACTTTCTAATATGAAGCCCAACATTTCTTCTTGCCATAACTAATGCAGGCAATTATCACTATAAATGTGATCTCGTCTAAACGACCATGATTTATTTTTCCTTTCATAAGCCGGCAGGTCAAATGGGCTGGTCCGCATAAATTTCACGTAAAATTAGTTTAACTCAAACCACCGAGTCAGGTTGTGCCAATGTTCTTGCTCCGAAATTATTTTTTATTTTTTAATTTTATCTTACAAACGCTCAGGCGGATGTTGGCACACGGAGCTTTTGGGGCAGATTAGACTGACCTTCTTCTCTTCAAGGTCGGACCAATGTGATTAAAAAGAGCGAGTCATTTAAAAAAAAAAAAAAAAAAAAAAAAAAGCGAGTTGGAATGGATCAGTTTGACCTAATATCTCCTTTTTGAGCCGCGGATCAAACTGGGTGTCACGAACTTGCATCTCTCTAAAGAAAAATAAAAGCTTGAAATGATGGTCTTATCAGATTGACCCTTAGCGGCAATATAAAAGTTAATCTGGTGGTGTATCATTTCATTAGTAGGAGTTAAGAAAGATTTGTTGATTTTGAGTTGAGATGTGATTTTATGTAAAAAAATTTAATTATAGTAAAAAATAAATTTAATTTTTTATGAGAATTTTTAACTATAATAAAATTAAAATTAAAAATTTAAATCGGTAAAATGAACTTAATGATTATACATCATGTGCATACACATCCCATCTATTTTCCCCTCAACCCACCCTATGATCTCGGTAATTTTTAACTAATTTCTCATCAATTCACCCGATTAACGCCAAAATCATCTCAACACAAAAAAGCAGCCCTTCTTGCCCCTTGGTGCACGTGTTCCTTGGTGATGTCACGTGGAAGATGCAGTGTGATGGCAAAGTTAGAGCGTGACAAATGGACTTTGTCTTAGCCCCTTTATTTTCTTTTTTCATGGAAATGGAACTTTGGCACAGCCTTTTATCCACAAAAAAAAAAAAAAAAAGAAGATAATCTGTCCTGACTATAATTTTTGACAAAACCACACCGAACCCATGTGCATGATGCCCATCAGGGATCACTGGTGTGGGCCCCACATTGCCCATATTCATACATTCAAGTAATTAGCAATCATGCAATCACCACTGTTGTTCTGTATGCATTGGCAACATCCTATTGTCCAATTAATTGTTGGCCACAATGCATTCCACTAAAGCGTCTAGGATTGTATTATTATGAAATTTTGGCATAATATCATTTGTACACGGAATGTTCTGATTTTTACTTTGTTACTATTACTATTATTTTATTAGAAATGTTTAGGATGTACTCCTTGAAATAATTAAACATATTATTTCTTTAAAAAAACTGACAATTTTCTGTCCTAACTCTAATTTAACGATTAAAATTTAAAATTTACATAAATATTACCTTCACATTTGGGTGATGTGAAATATCACAAGAATAGTAACAGGAGCCGGTGAAATTAATATAATTTCGAGGTTTTCAATAAAATGAACTGAAATTTTTCACTGCAAAAAAAAAAAAAGAGAAAAAAGAGATTATCATGTGCTAGCTACGAGATTATAATTATTATCATGTGTAGAAGTTCATCGTGAATTTCAAAGTCAATAATTCAAAAACAGGCGTAACCTAAAAAAAAAAAAAAGTAGATAGTACTTATAATAGACTTAGGACAAAACCCCTTTTTTAACAGAACTTTTAAAGTATTCAACAAAAAAGAAAAAAAATAATAATAACTTTTAAAGTAAAATAAAAGGCAGTGGCCGTACATGAAAATTGAAATTGATAATAGTCACATTGACAATTTTAGGAGATGTTTGGAATGGAAATTCGTGTCATGATTTAAATTATAATTTGTGACTCAGTATAATATTTTATTTCATAAAAAACACACGTAAAATGAGAATGATTATGAATTATGATTATAAATCTATGAACCAAACGTCCCCTTAATTGCAGTTAGGAGTTAGACATTCATGTCACTCATTTTTGTATCAATTAGCATATGCTTGAAATTGGTAACTATTATCTAATCTAAAGCTGAAAAGCAGGAAATTTGATGACTTTTTTTTCATCAAAATAATGATTGCTAATTATTAAAATTTAGTGGACGTTTGATTCATGAATTTAAAACCATAATTCAGAATTATTTTTAATTTAAGTATATTTTTTATTAAAAAAAATACTGTAGCGAATCACGAATTATGATTTAAATTTTGACACGAATCTTCATATTAAACTACCCCTTAGGCACCACTGGAACGAATAGTAAAACAGTGACTCGCATTAGGAGCTTTCCTTCATACCATTATAAGAATTGAGGACTAAGGATATTAAAAATGATCTAAGTTTTAAAAAAAAATGTTTCAGTTAACTCATTGCACATGAATATATAGTTGCAGTGGATAGGAAATATTCGACAAAATTCTATGACCAATCAAGAACCAAATGAATATTTTCCTGATTCCAAAATTTTCAATAATTTAACAACATGACTTGAATTGAGACATGTCTTGAAAGATTGAAAATCACGAGGTGCCATGCAATAATAGTCCATGTATGATGTAATCATGTCCTTTTAGGGACAAGGTGAGGACGCTTCATTGAAGAAGCTGGCGGGTTAAAATTATAAATATGTCTTTCTTTATTGAGATATTTTTTGATAGTTAACATGTTGATAGGTTAAATTTTTTATCTGTTAAATTTATATAAAATCACGTAAAAGTGAAAAAATATGCATATTTAACGGTTAAAAAATATAACTTAACGGTACATCAGACGTAGTAAAAAATCTTTATTATTTATTACTTAATTAAAAAAAAAAATTTTTTTTGATACGTCAATATATCAGTATGTTAAGTTTTTTATCTGTTAAATTTGTATAAAATTATATAAAAATTAAAAAGTACGCAGATCATCAATTGAAAAATATGATCTACATATACGCTAAACATACAAGAGAATCATCCGCTTGGTAAAGAGATTCGTTTCCTGATTCGAATCATAATTCGTTGTTCGCTACAGTATTTTCTCTCACAAAAAAATGCATGTAAATTGAAAATAGTTCTAATCACATAGTTCTAATTCATGAACCAAACGGGTTAAAATTAGAAAAAAAAAATTAAAACATTTACGCTAAATAAACACGCTCTCTAAAAATGTTGAATACACTAATGATTGATGAAAATGTAAAATCGCATTCTCCTCTTCCAAGGCAGGAAAAAAAAAAAAAAAAGAAAGCAAGGGCATATACGGTAATAAACCCACAAAGTTCCGCAAGTGAAGCAAGCTTATTTTTATAAAATTTAAAGAGATTTTATTATAGGCTTGAAAAATAAACTGCTAGTAAGTTTTTGTTTTAAGCAATTATATTTGTATCAAATTTTGTTTGTTTTACATTTTTTTAATGTATTTTAACTAAATTTATTGGTCAAAATCTTCTATTATTAGTAGAAATGGATACCATAAAAAATCCTTTAAGATTCGATCAAAATTACTTAAAAATAAAAATATAGAAATTTTATTAGTAGGATTAGTTCTCCCTGGTTATAATAAAAAAAAATTAGAGATTTTCTCTAGTATGGTCTCCTTATATCGGTAAGTTTTTAACCATTAAATCTGATTAAAATCACATCAGATTAAATAAGTATGTATAATAGATAATTTCTTATACAAATTTAACAATTAAAAGTATAATTTTATCAATAGTTCATATAAAAGAAAACTCTTAAAAAATTATTTTTGACCCTTAAAACATATAAAGAGTAAAGACTAATAACATGTGATATAAATAAGGAATTCGACGCTTGTAAAAATTACATATGTTTATTTTACAACTTAAGTTAAGAATTTAGTTGTGTATATGATATAAAAATATTATAGTAAAAATGTTGAATTTAATTTTTTGTGACTATAACTGTAGAACTTAAATTGTGACTTGAGTTGTGAAAAGAACAAGAGTATTATGAGTTTTTCTTTTTCTCATTATTAAAATGAGAGGTTATTTATTACGTTTGGCGTATAGATAAATCAAAATTTTTTAATTAAATATACTTATTTTTTAATTTTTAAGTAATTTTATACAAATTTAAAGGACATAAAATTTAATCTACTAATATATTATCACTTTTCTAATTAAATATGTTTATTTTTTAATTTTTAAGTAATTTTATATAAATTTAATGAACATAAAATTTGATCTATTAATATATTAGCGTATGGGAGAAGTCTCAGGAGATTAAGACAGAATAAATACAGGTTTTTGGCGGGTTTCTGAAGTTGATATCTGAGCTACAACAATAAGCTCCATTTCACGTCATTAATGGCGTCGTCTCATATACTTTCTAATTACGCCATTTTAATCTTATAATCTTCCCTTAATCCCAACAACCAATACCCACTTCCCAGTCCCACAGAAAGCCTCAAATCTCTCTCTCTCTCTCTCTCTCTCTCTCTCTCTCTCTCTAAGTCTCTCTCCCTCTCTGCTGAGTATCAGAAGAAGTCAGAGCCTTCCCAGTAAAGATACCCTGCTCTTCCTTCCATCTCAAGCACCTGCAGATCCGCAACTAGGTACCAACTCACACTTTACACATTTCCCATTATTATTATTATTATTATTATTATTATTATTATTATTATTTTACTCAACAAACATTACCTCACCAACGTCATTCAGTGGAATTTACTATTTTTCTTTTTAATTTCTATTTTTTTTTCCGAGCATTCGACGACTTTTACCACTGCCCAGTACTATTCCCTCCATGGCATTTTCATGCGCTGTTTCTATTTTGGCGTTTCTTTCAATTTCTAGCTTCGTATTCGACTTTATTGTCTACACATCTGGGCGTTTCTTTTTCTCCCTTCCCGTCAAATCTGGGTTTTGACGTTTTCTCGAAATCAAAACAGTGTTTTTTTTTCCTTTCAAAATTTTTAATTTTGCCTTTTGTTTTTCCACATTTGGGTAGGCATTTTCGCATTTTTGGGGTCTCGGATTCTCTCTATCTGCGCTATTTTTGTCAGTCTTTGGGTTCAGTGAAGCACTGGCATTGTCTTTTTTTTTTGGGGTATTTTCTTTTGTCGGTTGCTTCTGAATTCCACGGTTTTCCTTTTCGCTAGTAGGATCCGGAGAATTTTTCTCAGCTCAGATACAAGGTTTGCGCTTTTCTCTGGGTTTTGGCGTTTACGAATCTCTCTCCATTTCTCCTCAAGAACAAGCTATTTTATTTTCTTATTCGGAACGAACTTTCGGAATGTTTTCCTCTTTTGAATTTTTGCTTGGTTACCGAGAAAATGGTGGAAAAGAAAAATAGTCGCTCTACTTTGACTGCATTTACACTGACTAACTAGCAATTTTGGAGCTCATTCAATTGAAGTCGAGGTTTACTTTCGGCGACTTGCGAAAACGAGAATTATTGTTCAAAAGCAATTTTGTAGCTTTTGAGATCTATCTTGTTTGTATCTGCATTCTCGATTCGCAATCGGAGGCAAATTGCTGATTTTTTGTCTTAGCTCGGGGAATTGTAGGATCTACCTAGTAGGGATTTTTTATTTTTTATTTTTTTTAAAAGCTTTATTCGATCAGTTGTTTGATCTTGTTAGCCGGTTTTTAGGTTTGAGGCTACTGCGTTAACTTGTGAGCTTGACATATACTTCTGAATGGCCTGCTTATCAAAGTGTCTAAATACTTGAACTTCATTTTGTTATGTTTAGGAAGCATTTTTAGTAGTTCTTTAGCGTTTTACATAATTGTCTCTATCTTCTTGAGTTTAAGAAAAATGTCGAGGAGGAAAACAGATGCCTCTTCCCTGAAATTGATTTTCGTCTTTGTTGAGTTCATTGTGAAAACGATGTACTTATTATTGAACTGACTTAGAATGTATGGGAGCAGGGGGACGGAAATGGAGCCTTGATCATATGACAAATTGATGGTAGAAGAATTGAACAGGAATGTCGAGGATCACTAAGTGGAAGCTCGAGAAAACTAAAGTGAAAGTGGTTTTCAGGCTACAATTCCATGCTACCCATGTAAGTTTTCTTTTCAACTTCTTAAGAAGCTTCTGTACATTAAGAGGAAAAAGTTCGTAGGCATATCTGCGAGCTTGAATCAAATTCGGTTTTTCTTTGGTTCTTGGGATGGCTAAAGTAAGTGCAAGTGTATTTGTCTGATGATTGGAAAGTACTGTTTTTGTATATGTTTGGCATTTGCAAACCATGAAAGGCCTGAACGCCTCATCTCTCTGTCTGTGATTCAGATTCCGCAACCTGGATGGGATAAATTATTTATCTCTTTCATTCCTGCTGATTCCGGAAAGGCCACTGCCAAGACAACCAAAGCAAATGTGAGAAGTGGGGCCTGTAAATGGGCAGACCCTATCTATGAAACCACAAGACTTCTCCAAGATATTAAAACAAAACAGTATGATGAGAAGTTCTATAAGCTTGTGGTAGCAATGGTAGGTATAAATGGCATTGTTCCTTCACAATTCTTTTCTATACGAGTTAAGGATTCTCCCGATATGTAAAAAGATCATTCTAGCGATTATTTGCTTCAAACTGAATAAACAATGTCTGGCCAAATCTTACTGGCGTCAGGGTTCCTCGCGGTCTAGTGTCCTTGGCGAGGCTATCATCAATCTTGCTCATTATGCTGACGCATTAAAGCCCTCAGTGGTTGCACTGCCTCTTCAGGGATGCGACTCTGGAGCCACTTTACATGTAAGAGTTCCTGGATTCCATGTTCTATTTTATGTTTCCCTCTTTTACTGTATGCTACTCTTATGTGCTTTCTATCTACAGTAATTTGAGCTCCTATTTACAAGGTACTTTTTCTTTATTGCCAGGTTACCGTACAGCTGCTAACTTCTAAAACTGGTTTCAGGTGCTGTATTTGTCATCTAGCTAGCTTTGTGTTTCATCTAGTTTCAATACATTAATTTGTAGTTTAACCCTTTTCAGAGAGTTTGAGCTTCAGAGGGAGCTTAGAGAGAGAGGCTTACAGTCAACCTCTGATGAACCAACCTCTAGGAAAATATCAGCCTCTGAAGACCTCAATGATCCAATCGAAAAGGTTTGATTATATTTATTCCTTTTATTGCTATATGTAAAACTGATTTATGGTCATTGAAAAGCATGATGCATTAGAATTGATACTTTATAGTTATTAACATTCTGATGAAAATTACATGCTTTTCCGGGCCATTGCTAACCCATTCTGATCATTGGTTAGTGTAGACTGTAAGAGTTTTTGGTCCTCTCAAATGAAAACCATTAAGAAACTTGATCATCTAGTTTAGTATTCTTTCAATTATTATTATTATTATTTTATCAAGGTATGGACGATTTTATGTTATTCTATTGTTGTTTTTCTTTTTATGCATTCTATTGGTAGATATACTCGCGTGCGCGCGCGCGTGTATTCTAAATTGTTATCACTTGATTTTATACATCAGAAAATGCGCTTGTAAAAAGCAGTATGAACACTTATGCCACGAAAAGTAAACTGTACATATAAATAAGTTGTGGTATCGTAAAGCTCTGTTGTTGGATGGAGCTATTTCCTTACAACCATCAGGCTATGGGTTTATTGGTTTTAATACATATGCATTTTCACTGTAAATAGGTCAATACAAGAGTTCGATTCAAAGAAGAACTGCCTCCCCTTGAAGAGGGTGGCGCCAATGAAGAATATGCGGACTCAGCCGTTGGCTTTGATGGTTCTTCAAGTACTTCAGAAAGTTTATATGCTGAGAAACATGATACGTCTAGTGTCCATGAAGTTGAAAGCCTTAAGAGTACAGCCTCTGGTGACTTAGTCGGGCCTTCCCTTACACAAAGTCCTCAGCCAGAAAAAAGAGATCCCTCAGATCGTCGGTTTCTGCCTCAAGGAAGCAATGATTGCGCTCATCATGGCTGGGGTTCTGAATATTCTACAGATACTGATATAGCAAATGTCTATGAAGAGAATAGCAGACTTCGAAGAAACTTGGAAACAGCCGAGTCGTCAATTCATGAGCTTAAGCTGGAGGTGAATTCTTTACAAAGTCATGCTGACGAGATAGGCATTGAAGCGCAAAAATTTGCCCATTTACTTGCTAGTGAACTAGCTTCAGGAGAACAATTAGCGAGGGAAGTTTATGTACTTGGATCGGAGTGTTCAAATTTTAAAGCTGATCTTGAGCAGCTAAAAGACTCCAAAATAAACTCACACTTCACTACCAGAGAAACTATAAAGGCAGGCCAGGAGGCCTTCTTTCAAGAGTTGCAACTCAGGTGGCACAAGGGGCTTATGAATGTGGAGGATAAGATAAAAGAGATTCAAAGCAAGGGATCATTTGGATTTCATGAAAGGGACATCAGGGCATTCAATTCAGACTTGGAGGCACTACGGGGTGTTCTGCATGATCTCAAACAAGAAACTGGACGGGCAATTTCAGGCTTGAATTTGGTCAGTGTGCAGGAGACCAGAGAAATGACATTACATAAGGCTGATCAACTCTTACCAGGAACCAGGTTGACTGCGGATTTTTATCAGCCAGATGATATGCTGCATTGTCTCGACATACCGTGTCTGGTGTCTCAAGAAATTGATTCCACAGATGCTCATAGTGCAATGAAGGGAAAAATATTTGAACTTATAAAGGAGGTGGACGATTTGAAAGCTGAACGAGAAGGCCTTACAAAGAAAATGGACCAGATGGAGTGTTACTATGAAGCTCTTGTTCAAGAACTCGAGGAAAATCAGAGGCAGATGATGGGGGAATTGCAGAATCTCAGAAATGAGCATTCTACTTGCTTGTACACCATTTCAGCTACCAAAGCTGAGATGGAGAACATGCACCAAGACATGAATAAGCAGATAATGCTTTTTTCTGAGGAGAAGTCTAATTTAGATTCGCTCAACAAAGATCTTGAAAGAAGGGCTCTTACTTCAGAAGCAGCACTGAAAAGGGCACGCTTGAATTACTCTATTGCAGTAAACCAGTTACAGAAGGATCTTGAATTGCTTTCTGTCCAGGTTCTGTCTATGTATGAAACTAATGAAAACCTGATCAAGCAAGCCTTTTCAGATTCTTCACAACCAATCTCTTATGAAGAAGTGACAAAGAACAAAAAGTTGGAATCAAAGGAATTTCAAGCTGTAAAACTCTCGGTGCGTCACAATGGATTTGAGGGGGTTAAGAAACAAAATTTGGATGGTGATATTATTTCAGAGGACTTGAAGAGATCTCTACACTTGCAAAAGGGTGTTTACCAAAAAGTTGAAGAAGTCCTTGAAGTTCATACGGTGAATGTACATTTAGATATTTTCTCCAAGACTTTACAGGCAACTTTACTCGAGGCAAGTGCTGAGTTTAGATTGCTGAAAGAGAAAGTTAATGAGCTTACACAGCAGCTGCAGCTTTTAACTGAATCGAAGGAGTTGCTGATGCTGAGGCTTCAAAGTTCTATGGATGAGGTTCACCATTTGACTGAAGACAAGGATACATGTCATGTGAAGTGCAATGACATGGCTCTGCAGATCCAAGTTTTAGAAAACAATTTTCAAAATGTCACTGGAGAAAATTTTCTTCTTTCCCAAAAGATTAGCGAATATGAGATGCTGATTAAAGAATTGAGAAGTTACGAAAATCAATTCCAGGCATGCTCCATGGAAAAAATAGAGTTGGAAAATTCCTTGAAAAAGGAAATGCTAGCAAATGGAAATCTTCAAAATAAAATTTCCTCTTTGCTGGAAGAGATGGAAGCTATGAGAAGTGAATCTGAAGAGCTAGCTTCAGTAAAGGAGAATCTGCAGAGTACGGTAAACTTTTTGCAGGAAAAGCTGCAGAATCTGCTGGCTTTTTATGATGAAAAAGGTAATGGATTGTCCATGTGGAGTGAATCTGTCAGTCGGGATCTGGAATCCAACGATTTAGCCGGTATCATGGTGCGATTAGAACAACTTCAGCGTACTGCATGTGAGAAGATTTTCCGACTCCTTGAAGAGAAGCAAGATCTAGTGCATGAGCGAGACGTGGCTCATATGTCCTTAAATAAATCTGAGTCAGATAAGCTTGCTATGAAACATAAATTTGAAGATGATGTACGGAACATAAGGGACAAACTGGATGTGTCTAGTATCCTGGTGCAGAAACTTCAAGCAGAAGTTGATGCTATTGCCAACAGACTAAAGATTAGCTCTGAAGCTGAAGAAACTTACGCACAGCAGCACAGTGAACTTCTGTCTGCTTTTCATCGTTTGGAGGTCGAGCTGCAGCAACTTACTTCTAAAAACAAAGATCTTGCTCAAGAAGTAATGGCATTAGGGTGTGTAAGTGAAGAGTTTGGAAGGTTCAAGCAGGACATAGCAGCTCTTTCAGTTGAAAAGGAAGCTCTGGTGACGACCTTGAAGGATAAAAATGAGGAATCTGCCAAACTGGAAGCAGAGCTCAGTAGTTTGAGATCAAGTTTGCAATCTTTGCATGATGAGTTGGATCTTGAAAGAAGCAATAAAAGTAAGTTAGAAAGTAAAGTAACAGATCTAACTTCCCAACTAAATGAGAGGCATTCTGAGTTGCTAAATTTTGATCAGCAGGATGCTGAGTTGGTCCATCTCAGGCAATTGGTAACAGATTTAGAGCTAGAGAAATCAAGTGTCATCTGTACTTTGTCAGACTCAGAAAGAAGTCTAAAAGCTGCTCGCGAAGAGTGTTCTTCTATTTCTTCACTGGAAGCACAAATATCTGAAATGCATGAGTTTTCAATTGCGTCAGATGTGAGACTTACTTTCACAAAATCTCAATATGAATCCTACATTGAGGAGCTTCAGAAGAAATATCTTAACCTAGAAAGTAAGCTCAACGGATGTCTTGCTACAGAAGCACATTATATTGAAGAGAATTCTAAATTGATGACAAGTCTTGACTTACTTAGGTCTGAGTTGGATGCTTCCATAGCTCAAAATAGATTACTTCTTGATACAAACAGCGGCATAAGGACTGAACTCGATGAATTCAGAAAAACTGCTGAAAGTATGGAGGCTACTTCTCATGTAAATACAAGAAAGCATGCTCTTGAGGTTGAAAGGTTGAAGGGTATGGTGGTGAAATATGAGGAAGAGATTGATAACCTGATGCTTGTCAAGGAAGAACTAGAAGTCAAACTTGTAGTACTCAAATTCACATCGGATGCTTCCACTGCTGAAAACAGAAAACTTCTGGATTCAAATTATGACATAATGACTGAAATCAATGAATTCAAGAAAAGAGCTGAAAGTATGGAGGCTACTTCTCATTTAAAGATAACAGAGTATGCTCTCGAAGTTAAGCGGTTGGAAGATATGTTGGTAAAAAATGATGAAGAAATTGATAAGCTGATGCTCGTCAAGGAAGAACTAGAAGTCAAACTTCTAGTACTCAAATTCAAATTGGATGAACAGCAACCTCAGATAGCCTTGCTGGAGGAATATAAGCATGAACTCCTAGCGTTGCAGAACAAGTATGATGAGATTACCCATAGGCTCTCCGAACAGGTTTTGAAGACGGAAGAGTTCAAGAATTTGTCAATCCATTTGAAGGAGCTTAGAGACAAGGCTGATGCGGAGTGTCTTCAGGCTCGGGAAAAAAGAGAACCAGAAGGAGTGCCACCTGCTATGCAAGAGTCGTTAAGAATTGTATTTATCAAAGAACAGTATGAAAGCAAGCTGCAAGAACTGAAACACCAGCTCTTAATCTCCAAAAAGCATGCTGAGGAAATGCTGTTGAAATTACAAGATGCAATTGATGAAGTCGAGAATCGGAAGAAATCTGAAGCTTCTCACTCAAAAAGAAATGAAGAGCTAGGAACGAGAATTTTGGAATTGGAGTTGGACTTGCATTCTGCACTTTCTGAAAAACGTGAATTGATGAGGGCCTATGACGTAATGAAGGCTGAAAAAGAATGCTCATTGATAAGCCTGGAATGCTGCAAGGAAGAGCTTGAAGCCTCTTTGCAAAAATGCAATGAGGAGAAGTCTAAATTTGCTGTAGAACTCACTGCAATGAAAGATTTGCTTGAGAGGTATGCTTCCGCACTGAATAACCGGAGAGACATTGATGGCTTGCACCAAGCGGATTGCATATCTGATGATTCAGTCCACAGAATGCGTCCTGAGAATATTCCAGTTTCAGGCAATCCAACATCTGAAAGATTTAGTGCATACATGCTTCACGAGAGTGGTGCAAAGGATGAACTTGAACCTGTCTTTCCCACTCCCACTGATGAAGCTGATCAATCAAATGCACTCATCGAAGTGCAGCAAAAGCAGGTGATTACCTGTTTATGTACGTTTGTTTGTTTGGTGTAATGTTCAGTCCTTCATACATCTATAATTTGTGCACGCTGGTACTAAAATTAAAGGTTCCGTAGCATTCTTTTCTATAACTGAGTATTTATCATTTTTGAGTAAAAGGCCATGTTAGGCAACCAAAAGTTTCTTCCCTGAATCTTCATCAGGAGTTCTTGTATGCCTTTTCAGTTCATTGGAGGATGCGGACATGCATATTGGGTTCATAATATAGTCCAAGACATTAATGCATCAATTTTAATTCTAGACATGGAAATATTGGCTCAAAAATATCTGCATATCTTTTGTTCCTCAGGACGTTCTCACATCTGGGTCTATAAAAATATGCAACGTACAGTTAATTCAAGAAGGTGCGCAACATAAAGACACTAAGCACGTGGCTTTTGTGAACGACCACTTTAAGGGCCAAACTTTGAAGTCTAGTATTGATCAGTTAAACAAGGAGGTATGTATATACACATTATGTAGTAAAAAACGAAAGTGAGCGCTTTGTCTTGCTAACATGTCCTGTATGGTTAGTAGGTGGTTGAGGAACAAATTTTCCATATTTCGTTTCATTACTTTCTTTACTAATCTAGAATTTGCGCAGTATCGAAGATCATTTTCTTGTCATCTTTATGCAGTTGGAAAAAATGAAACATGAAAGTTTACTTCTTTCCCAAGATGATCACCAACTTGAACCGATTTCTCCTGGTTTACGAAGAGAGTTGATGCAGTTAAATAAGGTAAATTGACTTTCCCAGTTACAAACACTATGACGTCCAAGTTCTCTTGAACTAACTCTTATTTTGTTGTTGCTTAGGTAAATGAAGAACTAGGAAGCAAATTCCCCTTATTTAATGAATTCCCTTGCAATGGCAATGCATTAGAGAGGGTACTAGCTTTGGAAATGGAGCTTGCTGAGGCCTTGCAAGAAAAGAAGTCAAGCATTCATTTTCAGAGGTACATTATCTCAGACATCTGTGATAAACCCTGGCGAACTTGAATCGTATATCCTCGATAACTACTCTTTATGGGTCACCTAAACGTTTCATTAGGCAACTTTTACGCTCCATTTGGTTGGAGGGATGGAAAGTAGGAGGGATGGAGAGTAGGAAGGATGAAGAGAATTGGAGGGATGGAGGGAGAGTTGAATGGATGTATGATAATTATTTATTAAGTTACTATGTTGTCCATTTAAACTATTTGTTAATAATTTGTTTAGAGGGTAAAAGAGTCTTTTAAAGTTTAAAGTTGATGGATTTATTGGATGATAGAAAGATCCAATTTGAAAGGCCATGAGGGAGACTACATAACTCCACCTCTCCTCTCCCTCCTCTCCTCTCTCTCCAACCAAACAATGGATTAGAGCTCTCCCTCCGTCACTCTCCCTCCACTGCTTTCCCTCTCCCCATCTCTCCCTCCTACTAAACACACTCATGAATCTTGCTTTTATGTATTTGGACCAACATAGGCACCTAGTACAAGGCAAAAATCCACATATTCAGATTTAGAATGAAAAGCATAATGCAGAGTTTTAACTTAGCATTCTTTTTTCTGTGTTCCAGTTCTTTCTTGAAACAGCATAGCGATGAGGAGGCAGTTTTTAAAAGCTTCAAAGACATAAATGAGCTAATCAAAGACATGCTGGAAATCAAGGGACGATATGCAGCAGTGGAGACCGAGTTAAAGGAGATGCATGAGCGATACTCTCAACTGAGCCTTCAATTCGCAGAGGTCGAAGGAGAGAGGCAAAAACTCATGATGACCCTCAAGAACGTTCGGGCATCCAAGAAAGTACCGCTTTTAAGTCGCTCCTCAACAGCCCCTCTTGGTGGCAGCCCATTGTCATAGCCAAAGCTTAATACAATCCCTCAAGTTCTTTCCTCGTTTGCAAAGTCTCCAGAATAACCCGTAATGGGTTGAGAAGTTTTAGTACTTCCACGCAGTGCTTTGCTGTGCATTATGTTAATTATGTAGATCAATGGTGGATACTCACGAGGCAGCTAAGATACTAAGAGGGTCAACTTCTAAAAGCTCAGGAAAGGTGTCAAAAGCTAAGCAAAGGGGGTTTGTGTAAATAAAAATAGCAGCTGCTTCGTGTTACTGCTTTACGATGTCATTATCATAAGTACAATCCCTGTAATGTAATACCTTTTTATTTTATTTCTTCTTTCTTTTCGGGAAGAAGGATGAGAGTTTTGATCATCTCGGTGGTGTAAAATTGCTCTAATTCTAATGTATAGTACATCATTTTTCTTAGTAGACAATAATTCTATTAAAATATTTTCAAGAAGCAAATGGAAACGAGCCCAATTTCTACATTTCATTTTTCACTCTACAAGTTTCTATCAATATGTCCACAGAGCAAATTCTTTTCTTAACCTTGAACTTTAGAAATGTTGAAAATTTGTATGATTCAGGCATGACATACTCAGAAACCGGTCAACATGGTTCAACTCTGAATATGCACATGTCACAGAGAGAAAATTATTCTTCGTTCCATTTAATCAGAAAAAAAAGGAAGAGTTTGCTTACAATCAACCAAAAACAAACCAATTTACTTCTATAATTTTCTTTTTTTTTCTTTATCCTTCTTTCAAATTGGTTACAAGAAAAACTCCTTTGGTGAACAAGCATGCTAATCCAACTACACAGGCAGTCCAGTTTCTCATTCCTGAGCCGCAAAGAAAACTGGCATGTTTTACTCGAGGAAACCGCAGGATTCAAAGCAGTAAACGAGTGACGGATTAAACACCCTGCAGAGCCACTCGGGATCAGAAACTGAGCTCCTAAGTTGCATCTCGTCACCAGCTAAGGGAAATAAATGAAGTGACACTAGACACTAATTGAAGCAGCAATGTCGTTCTGGTCATGGGGAACTACAATATCGAGCATGAGCACCGGTTCATGCTCTTTGGAGAATCATTCTGCACTTTGTCTATTGAAAAATGCCGGTGTTAATACTGTGTCAGAACTCACAACTGAATTGTCTTTCATCAGGCTTGATTGCATATTGTTGTGTTTAAATATGAAATAATCTTAATGTCAATACGTCTCATATTGTTTAGATTCCATCCCTTGCAAATCAAAACTTAAATTACTCGCGTTAAACCAATGCCTTGTGATTAAATTCAAGTCAACTCATTTTTGGCACTAGAAAGCAAATATAAAAGCAAATTCATGAAGATGTAGGACGTTACCAGCGTTCTTGTCTGAAAGAGGAGGTCGAACAACGACATGCATCGTGATGACAGCTCCGGGGAGTTCTACGGGAAGTCTGGACTCTGCAAGTGTCCTGTTATTTTCCAATATCTTTCCCGCATTGATAAGCTTCAAATCATTGATTGTCCTTGGACAAATCTCTTTGTCTGTTGAAAGAAAAGACGGAACTACATCAGATAATGTCAAGTCTATTTCAAAGCCAAAGGTCAATATCTCAATAATCAAGCTATACGAGGATTGAAATCTTGGCCATAAATTTTTGTTCCTCTTTTTTATTTATTTATACATTTTATTCAGAGTAGGTGAGAAATATAAAGCTAATCCTATTTGCAATAAACAACTGCCACACACTACATAATAAAACAAGCAAAACTAAAATATGGATAGTTCAACTGTAGTGCCTGATTTTTCCATACAAAAGAGAGAGAATTTTAAGTTCACTTCTCAAGAAACCGTTGAGTGTGTGGGATCTAATTATCGCTACGACGTAGAGTCGGTGGAAATTGTTTGGGAAAATCTAGGCTAAATTTAAATTAATTACCGAGAACGAAAATAAAAGCAAAAATCAAGGTCAAGAATTTTATACAGGTTCACTAATTTGATTACGTTCTATTTCCGCCGTCGTAAATTGCACTATATTGATGAAGAAAATCGAATACAGAAAATCAGTCGAACACTCAACAGTATTTCTCTCACTCTCAACAGTATTTCTCTCAACCTCTCACTCTAATTTTCTCTCGGAAAATCCTCGCACATAATACCTCTAATAATAGGTATTTATAGAGTACAAGAAAAAGACCAAAAAAAAGCCCAAAAGAAAACCTAAAATGACTCAAAATCGCGTCGGTACAAGCCCCAATAGTATTTATAGGCGCGACGTGAGCGCTGGCACTGCTGGGGCGCCAGGTGTAACACTTCCAGGGCGCTGCAGCGCCCGCCAGCCTTTTTTCTCATTTTTCCTTCTTATCCACATGATTAGGCTCCACAAACTCCAACAAAAATAGACCTTTTAAACTTTTTAGTATTTTCAATTACCTTAGTTTTTTACTTATACCGGGGAGCCACCAGTTATTGGGATCAGGGTTAGAAAGACAGAGACAGAGGGTCTGAGAATCGTGAGTTGTGTGATTTTCTTGTAATATTGTTGTTCGTTATAGTGAAAATTTGCAGTCTTTGCTGCTGCAGAAAGCGGACATGGCTCTCCCATTTAAGACAAACTATTATAAATCTTGTGTGCGCTTGCCTTTTTGCTTTTCTTCGATATTACTGCTCTTGATAGAAAAATATTAGGGCGTCTAATCTTTAACAAAGCAGAAAACTATATTATAATTCAAATGCTTTAGAGATTAACTGAAGAGTCAGGGATAAATGTTAATTACAATTATCGCAGAGACAATAACATAGTATACAATCTATTTTCAAATTTTTAGTTTTCAACTCTGCAAACTCCATGTGAGGTCCCAATTTTTGCAGCGTCAAACGTCAAAACAAACTCAACTTGACGTTATTAACAAGGTGTACAAAGTAAAACACGTGAGGAATACCATCAAATATGAAACAAAGTACAATGAGAAGTCCTAATAAGGCCTCAAAATTTCTCCCCAAACCAACCCAATCACCTTTCAAGCACAATAAAATTAACAATCACACAGACACATCAGAGAATGGAACAACAACAACATAACAATTGAAAAACTTTCAATCTGAAGAAGCCCAGAGGCATAAAACAAGAAGTCATAGAAGTTAAATGGGGGAAAAAAAGAAAGAAAGAAGAAAACAAAATAAATACAAATAAAAAATCGAACCTTTAGGCCATTGTGAAAGTATCTTCTCTTTAAGAGATGCCACAGAGGCAGTTGGGCTATACTTGCTTGGTCCGATATCAGTCCCATCAGAGAGCCTGAATTTCACTTCAATCAAATCTTGGGAAGCCATTAAAAATCGATGAACAATGTCCCAACAAAAATCCCACCTCAAATTCTCATAACACTCTCCAAGAAATCAAATTTGAGTCCAAAATAGTGCCAAACAATAAGAAAACCCACTTCAAATCTGTCATGAGAAAAAATCAATTAGACCCAGAAGAGCAATCACTTTGATAACCCATAAAACAATAATTAATTAAAAAAAATGAGTGAATTTTGATGGCCAGAAAAGTTAGCTACCTGACATGGAGATCTGGACCTGTTGATAGTAACCTTAAAAGCGGAACGAGAGTAGAAAATCTGCTATATCAAGTTGCAAAGAATGAAGAAAACAGAAAATCTGTCTTTGAGTTGCTTGATGTAGAAATAAAGAAAGAAAGAAGGAAAGAAACAGCCCAGAACTTCCTGAGTGAGATTTACTACCTGATTTAACAGAAGCTGCCTCTTATATTGATTGGGTTAAGGTTACATAATTGCCCACTTTTTCTAAATTATTTACGAAGAAATAAATCTTTACCTTTTTCTCCACTTATACAAATAATATATCTTATTAAAGGAAATTCAATGATAAAATAAGAATGAGTGTTTGTATAATAAGATTTGTTCTTTTTATATATTGTTATTTTAACTGTTAAATAAAAATTTTAATAGTCTAATTTGTAATTGTATCAATTTTGTATGCGCGATGCAAATTTATAACTTGAATACTGATAAATCAAATCAGATCGTTAAATCTTAATCCAACAGTTATAATAACATTAGCTAACGGGGGTTGAAAAGAATAAAGTCTACTGCAGAAGTTCTCTGCAAAAAAAAAAAAAAAAGTAATAAAGGTTTGTTTTTTTAGAGTTTAATTTGAGTATAATTTTTAAGTTGAATTTGAGTTATAACTTGAGTTGAACTTGTAATTTGAGTTTGTGTTTGAGTGAGTCAAAACTTGAATTTATATTTAGATAGTATTTTCATAAAAACTCAATGCTGATAAAAAATTTTAATAGGGTATATGGGTCGGGTTTTATTCGTCTTTTCGTTGTCAACACATAGAAAAAAAATCATCTCAATCAAAATTAAAACGAAAAAGTTATAGCATTTTTAAGAATAAAAAAATACTGTTTATTAATTTGAGTTCGAGTTTCTGAACTCGAGTTGAAGGAGAAACTTGAACTCGAGTTTTAGTCCTAAACTCGAGTTTGAACTCGAGTTTAAACTCAAATTTAAACTTAAAAGAACATGAACTCAAATAAAATTATAACTCAAATTACTTTTTTTTTGAGTTTTTTACTAAAAAAACAAGTACAAAATAGATTTTATACATGCATATTCTGTGCAGTAAAAACTGTAAAAGTAGTTTCAAGCAAAAAAAAAAAAAAAAAAAAAAAAAAAAAACAAAAAAAAAAAAAAAAAAAAAAAAAAAAAAAAACCTACAAAAGTAATTGTCTTTTCAGAAAATTTCTTCCGACATGCTTGCTTAACTGATAATCACGGCAGACTATAATCAAGAGGTAACTAATTAATCCTTTAGAAAAATGTAATAAATTTGTTTTCATATGTATAATTCTGCAAAAAAAAAAAAAAAAAAAAAAAATTGAACATTTAGTGAAGGCACAAAATTGCAACCTAAAAAGTAAAAAATATAAATTTGCGATGGAAAAAACAAGGATCGATATTTTTTGACCAACTACATTTTTAGAGACACTAGAAAACAATTTTTTTTTAGGGAAAACAATATATTTATATTGGAAGAAATGTTTGAAAAAGATTATAAAAGGAAAATGCAAGTTTGAGAGCGGAAAAAACAAAAAAAAAAAAAAAAAACCAATAATTGCTCATGTCCAAGTAGAAAGCTTAAAAGCAGGTCAGGACAGGAATAGATTCAATAGAATAGTCAAAATTATTTTTGGCAAGCAAAAGTCTATTTACTTACTCTATTTATATTATTTTTGGCAAGCAAAAGTCTATTTACTTAACTCTATTTATAATCCTAGTCTGTTTCATTAGTTGGCTTTTTATTTGCAAATTGAAGCTAGTGACTCCAGCGCACAACTTTGCTAGTTGGATGGTTCATGACTTCATGTTGGCTTTACTTCTCATAATCTTAGTCTTAGTTATTTACATGTACCGAATTATTAAAAAAATTCCTATTGTTAGTTACGCAAAAAAAAAAAAAAAAAAAAAAAAAAAAAAAAAAAAAAAAAAAAATTTTTCCTAAATTGTTAGACCAACATCACATTTCAACTTAGACTGCTAAAAATGTTATTGGAATCTCATATATGAGAAATTAAGTATTGGATTCAAACGATGCTTTAAATAATATAAAGCTTAAGTTGCTAGCAATAATTGTTTTCTAACTAGGCTCTGTTATTGTATAGTGATATTAGATCGCATTGAAATATATATATTTACATCAAGTTATATCTGACTTGTTTCGGTTAAAGGAGGAGATTGGGAATCCTTGAAGTGGAGTGAGAATTTTGAATCGATTCTGTATAATCACAAAAATGTAAAAATAAAAATAAAAATGAAAAAAGGAAAAAGATACTTCTTTAGATGATCCATTCGCCATTTCCTAGTAAATATATATGCTTGCGTTGGTTTAACACGATTAAGGCCTTCTTTCTACTCTTCTCGAATCCAATATATTGTATTAGAAATTAAAAATCTATATTTTTGTCTTCCATTTCCACTTGCAGTTAATGTCTTCTGTATAGACTTTCCATAATTTACCAAATAGATACAATAATTTTGCTTGGGGAATCAGAATTTAACCTTTTAGAAAAACGACACAGCAAAGAAATGCCAACATATATATATATATATATATATATATATATGACATTGCATGATTATTGTAACTCATTGGAGGCATCTAGTTCAATTTGATGCTTATAATATTAAGATTAATATACAACTTAATTTTAATTATTGATTGATGGTCCCAGCAAAACTAGTTCTTAGTGATGTGCACACCATGCCTAGCAATTTTTTTTAATGAAAATCATAGGCAAAGTCACAACTCACACAGTGTTAGACAGATAAACAATAATGCCAGTTTTTGTAGGCCAGCTAACAGAAAGCTTCAATATTACTTGTTCAGGCTGGAAAGATGAAACATGCATATTATGGTGAAGATTAATGATAAAAAGACTATATTCATATTTAATGAGTAATCTCGTCTGGATACCAATTTCCAAAGGCTTGTCAAAAGGTTTGATTTTTGAACGTGTCATATAACTCATCACAGCCGAACTTCCAAAGAATTTTGAGGATTTGCAGATGCACATGAAGAGGACTTGCCTTCATGTGCTTAGGTTTAATAAGCACTACAACATAATTTTCAGGCATAATTATGAGGTAAAGATGGGAGGAGTATATATATAGACACACATATATGTATGTATACGGAGTAAATTAAGGTAGACAGCTGTCCTACTTAGATTTTTTTTCTTTTTAATTTTACATGTGACATATAATGTAACTTATATGGTGCATTTGGAATTAATTTTAAAATGATTCTGTTTTTTTGTATGAAATTGGAAATGAAAACGTTTTTAATTTCAGCCAGAAATTATTTTTAAAAATACGTTTAGTAGTTTTATTAAGAGATTATTTTTAGTATAAGAAAAAACTGAAACTTCGTTGGTTATACAATTTTTATTTTTAATTTAAAAGCACTTAGTTAGTTCATTTAAGCCCACACTTACTTGCCAAAAAAAAAAAAAAAGCATTCACCTAAAACTGAAAATGAAAAACGACTTAAATTCATTTTCAATTTTTAAGTCATTTTACACTAAATTGAAAACCGTTTTTATTTTCGTTTTTTTTCCTCCAAGCGCGTTTTCCTCCTTAATCTTTGCTTTTTTGTGTCAGAAAACGTGAAAAATGAAAACGGAACTGAAACCAAACACGCTCATAGTTTTGATCTCTCGTTCATTTCACCAATTCGAGTTTTCAGTTTTAAGTTTCTACAATAAAAAACTCTTAGAAGATGTCACATCTAACTTTTTCTATTATAGTAAAAAACTCTCAAAAAATGTCACATCTCAACTCGCTCGCTCATAACTTGGATTGCAGTCGTAGTCTTGCCCACTTATGATAGCCCCCAGTAGCTTGTTTTTCTGGCTCCGCTAAATGTGTGTGCACGCTTTTTTTAGTGTGATTTCTCCGTTTCGTTTCTCAAAAGTTGGTCTCTCCCACTAACGAAAAGAACATGCAAGAAACAAAAAAAAAAAAAAAAAAAAAAAAAAAAAAAGAATCTCTTAATGGAAGTAACCTTATCCTCCCGCATTCAATTTCAAATTCTCCCACGTCTCATCCCCAACATTTCTCTCAAAATTCGATTTTCGGTCACTCATTGAGGATTTTTCAAAAAAGAGCTCCTTGTGATTGTTGGAAGATTCCCATTTTGACAAGAAAGAGAATCTATATGTAATTGCTTTTGAAAATGAGTACCCACGATCTCCAATGTCACCGTGCGTACCAAACTTCCAAAGAACCACCATTTTCTTTTTCATTTGTTTCACCTTCTAGTTTGTACAAATATTCTCTAGTATTAACCGATAGATGATTTCTTTTTATGATAAACACGCCCGATCTAAAATATAGGTTCCGTTCATTTTATCGATTCGAGTTTAGAGTTTTGTTACAGTAAAAAAACTCTTAGAAACAGTCACATCTAATTTTTTTGTTACAGTAAAAAGCTCTCACATAAAGTCACATCTCAACTCAAATTAAAAACTCGAATCAACGAACTAAATAGACGTGCGTGTAAGTGTATATATAGATAGATATTATTATAGGAGTACTAAGTTGAGAGAAACATCAATCATGATTTGAGATTGTAATCCTAAGGTATTTTGGGAATAATAATGGACGGATCGAATTTCAAACTCGATCATATGGTTTTTTTTTTTTTTTTTTTTTTTTTTTTGGGGGGGGGGGGGGGGGGGGCGGACGTGAAATTTGATGAAGATTTGAGTACTAAAAAAGTATCATACCGGTAAGGTGTTAATAACCTAGCTCGGGATTATCCGATAAATTAAAAATCAATAATTTTAAGCAGGTGTTTTTAGTTTTGCAGGTCCTATGAAAAAGTCAAAAAGTAAAGCCGAAATAAAAGGGCAAAGAGTCATATTGATGAATAGTGCAGAGGGTTGTTGTCTATGGCCATGCTCTAATTAATGGAAAAAAATGGAAAATTTTATCTTATTATTCAGTCTTGTATTGTTGCTGTCCACTAAACTAACAAAAATCTATACATAATGGTAGTTTGAATTGAGATCAGTTGATAAAGAGATAAAGAAGTCCAGCAATGGACAACTTGCTTTTGTTTGTGATATTCAAATCATTGTTGCTGACATCTCTATAGTTGTAGACTTGAAACTACTGGATAGGGGATTTATCATGGGAAGCAGCCCTAACAGCAAAACGCACCAAATTGACCCAACTTAGAGAGTCGAAAAAGTACTTTTACAATTTGATGATTGAGGAATCCAATTTGCCTAATTCGTCTTGATAGCAAAAAAACAGACCCGATTTGACACTTGTTTATAATGCACCAAACATTACACTGATATTCACATGAGATATTTAAACAATATAGTATGGTTTTTAAAGTTAGATGAGATATTTAGACAATATATCATGGGTTTTAAAGTTGGATTGACTTTTATCACGATACTAAAATTATTATAAAATATATCCCAATGACATCATTTAAGTTTTATTTACTGAGTAAAATTATGCTTGTATTTTTATGCATTTGATTCAGTATCTTTAGTTTTTTGTGAGAGTTTAGTGTTTTTTTATGTATATATTTATGATTTTTATGGATTTTATAATTTTTAAATATCTTTAACTGTGACATTTTATACAATAATTTATGTCTTTTAATATATGCCAATCCAAGCCTACAATTCTGGGCAGTCCGGTAAAGTGCCCATATTACATTGCCAATAGGTAACTAAGCAACAATAGCTGGGAAAATAATTTTCTGCCACCAAAATTTTTATAGCTAATATGAAGTCTTACATTTGACTTTGATAAATTTTACCGCAATCAATGTCAAATGCAAGATACCCCCACAACCAAAAAAAAAAAAAAAAAAGGAACTGATTAGATTCTAGAAGTCAAATTCACAAATCCAATGTCAGCCAAGGAACGGTGTTACTCTGGAACTGACATCTTATTAGCAAAATTATGTATGATTGTTTTGTAGATGCTTCGGCATAATATAATAAATGAAACTGCAACTTGTTTTGCTGCAGATTCATCCCTCAAACCGTTTGAGTTGCACATTTCTAAAGTGGGATCTCGTACAAATATCGACACATTTCATTTCATTTATCAAATGTATTGTAACTGGATGATCAATTGGTTGCACTCTATTGTGCATCGTCATCTTTAGAGATCAGAAGGAGATTAAAGCCTACACCCAAAAGAAAAAAAAAAAAAAAAAAAAAAAAAAAAAAAAAAAAAAAAAAAAAAAAACTAATTTTCTAATTCAGCTAAACAGCTTATTAAGTTTATGCAATGTTTGCTTTAAGCTGTAAACATGATACGTTCAACATGTTAATTTTTATGACAGATCAACGACATATGAAAAGAAATGCCACATCACAGAAAGCGTTAGCTGGTACAAGATAATCAAGCAAAGTTGGCTTCACGACGAGCACATACGGGTCAATGATCACTATTAGAAATCAGGGCCTTAGGCAACATTCTATAATATCATATCAAATACTCCCATATCTTCATTATAAGAGTTCTTTTTACTGGGAGGCTGCAAAAAAAAAACAGTTGAGCTGCAGATCTGCAACATGTAGAGAGTGTTTTTTGCGATCGAGTATTGGTAGCAAAGCAGAAGCTAAAGAAGGTACAAATGGAAAAGATTTCTAATAAATGTTCAAGTGATACAAGTACAACCAAGCAAAGGTACTACTAAGCGGTCTCTTTTCCTTGATTTATAGTTTTCCAAAATATGCTTGACCAAAGTACAGAAAAAAAAAAAGAATCAGATTGAACATTCTAACAAAGTGACATCATTACCAATCCAATCCTTCTTTCCGGAGTATTTATTTATTTATTTTTTTACCAGAATGGAGAATAATAGTAAATGAAAATGAATGCAGAAAGCTTCACATACAAAGATATGAAGAACTTGCAGAATAGCCTCTGGCAATAATATCAGTTTGTAAAATAACGGTTTATGTGCGTATTCTATACAATATACCTCATCTTATACTGAAAACATATAATAACGTAGCTCATCAATTTGCAGGAAGCTGCTGTACCTAGGCCCTTTAGCAACATACAGCTTACTCACACAGACGCTGAAAACGTGACACATAGCATTCTGCTAAATGGCAAGAACTTGACAACTGACTAGATCAGCTGCCTCGAAGTCCCTAGTTGCAATGACGTTCCAAATTACAGCATCCGAATCCGCCAGCAAGTCAGAGGAGTCCGCTACAACAGAAGTTGAGCTCGATGGTATAGAATCCGTATTATCATGCAGATCGGCCCGCATAATTGCAATTTCACGGTTGGCATCTTTGGTGATAACATGAAGCTTTCCATGAAAACCAGCAAGCAAATACGGAGATTCTGAACCTGCAAAGTCATAGATTGGGACTTTCCCTATCACAACTTTCCAAGCATCTTCCTTCTGGTCATACACCTTGATCTTGCCGCTGTCCAAAGAACTAGAAGGGTCAAAAGCATATAATTCACCATCTACCACAACACTCAACTTTGTACCAGCCTGACGTGCAGGCCAACCCTCTCCCATGCCAATTGGCATTTCGTTCCAAGAGTTTGTTTCAGGGTCATAGATTTCTCCTCCGACGTCAACGAAAAATGGCCATGAATACAAACTTTGAGGCACACATAACCTTCCCATGTATGAAGTCAACCCAGTTGCGATAGGCTTTAGCATGTCGGCCAAAAAGGCAGTGGGTAAAACTTGAGCTTTAGAGAATGGCATGCTTGGTACTTGGGACCATATTCCCGAAGAAGGGTCGAAAACTTCTGCAGACTGAAGAGGAGTCAATCCACCTCGTCCCTGACTAACCCCTCCGACAACATATAGTTTGTCATTCAAAATGCCTGTTTTACAATAGGCCCTGCCTGTAGACATGGCAGGAACTTCACTCCAAGCATTTTGAATAGGATCAAATTTCCAGACACATTTCATGGCTGAAGCTTTAGAAAATCCACCTAGCACATAAAGGCATCCATCAACAGCGCCAACGGCACAACCACAAAATGGCATTTGATCGAAGGAGCTCTTATGCCCAAGCCAGCCTCTAATTAAATCGGCAATCCTAATGCTAGGCCCCAACATGCTCCACATCCAAAGCCCAGAAGGCCCTTTACTAGATCCTTCGTTGTAAACGACATTGGGCATCATAGGTAGCCTCTGCCATCTTTTTGACAAGGGGTCCAAAGCATGCCATAAAAGTTTGTCTTCTTCAATCTTAGTCAACAGATACAGCCATTCCTCAGTCGTCCCTATTTCTTTCCTCAACTTAAAAAGCTCCGGGCTCATAACAGTCGCCTTCCACTTCCGTGATACCAACCTCACATTAAAGTAGCAAATTCTGGGAAGCCTAGCAATAATCTGAACCGATAGCTCATCGGGAAGACTGGGAATCAGTCTCGGGCTCTCCTCATCGATACTTGGCGACATTCTTTGCCTCTTGCAGTTCTCATACTGAGAGACCTCATGATACTCGTTCGTCCCCAACTTGGGACCAGCCAAACTTAAAAAACCTCCCATCGGAAACCGGCAAGGCCACACAAATCTGAGTTTGGAATATTTGAACTAAAATCAGGTGCTGCCCACCTTTTCTCCACTGTATTTCATGTATCACAACACAATTCTGGACAAACTAAAGAGAACAACAGTAAATACACCAAACCAAATAAAAATAAAAAGAATTATTTGGCTCCAAACACAAACAAATAATACAAAGTTGTTTACAGTACTAGACAGCAAAATGCACCAAAAACTATAAAAACTGACCTTCTCAATACCTACTCAGAATCATCCAAAGAAAAAATAGAACAGTTCAATTCGCTTCCTTCACTTTCTTAATTTCAGGGGTTAAAATTGCCAAAACTTTGACGAAAAATTATAAATTTCAAAGCACCCAAATTATTTCCCAAAAAAAAAAAAAAATCCAAAATCCACCCTAGAAGCTTCTAGCAGTGGCCTGCAAAGCTCATAGACTAGTCTAGTTCTAAGAGATGACGGTCAAATTACTCCGCAGACCCAAAGTTTTATTCAAAATTCAAAGCGAAAATTAAAAAGAAAAGAAAAGAAAAAGAAACATGACATATCAAGAACTCCAAAATTCAACGAGCAAAATAAACCAAAATAGGAAAACTAAACCAAAAAAATTAGTAAAATCACAAAATCAATGACGTACTCATCAGAATCTACGCAATTGAAGTTTGAAACACGAACAAAAGTAATTCGAACATTCACGCATTGCGTAGATCTTCGGATGCAAAATCGGTATTAGACCTGGAGAAGTCGATCGCGCGAAAAGCGGAAAACAGCAAAACCATGGCCGCCAAGTTAATTTGATGGGAAATAAATAAAAGTAATTAAGGAGAGAGAGAGAGAGAGAGAGGAGAGCAAGGGGTATTTCTTCTCTAAGCAACGGGTCTTCCAAGTAAATTATAAAAAAAAAAAAAAAAAAAAAAAAAAAAAAAAGAAGAAAACGGGGTTGGGGGGTGGGGTGGTCTTCCAAGTAGAGAAGAGAAAGCAACACAAACAAGTTAATGGCGATGACGACGACACCCAAGTTTTTCTGTGCCACGTGCCTCCACGTGGCTGTGCAAGACTATTAACTACATACTTTTTTTTTTGGGGACAAATTACACTTCTCCCGTGTTATAAAAATTCTCTATAAATTTTAAAAATATTAAATTTTCTTTTTGAATAAAGCACGTTTCTTCTTTATTTGCCCCCTCTAACAGAATTTAACAGAGGGGATAAATAAGGGGAAAGCGTGTTAACATGGTTTTATTTAGAGAAAAAATTTGATATTTTTAAAGTTAAAAGAAAAATTTTTGTAACACGTCAATTGTTCAAAGGCACAAATATATTTTGTCCTTTTTTTCTCAACTATACTATTCAATTGCACTAATTTCTTAACGTCTGAGTGTTGGAGACGCTAAAGAGCTTATTATTTATTTAATTTACTGAATAAAAAAATTTATTTATATAATTTTTTAAGAATTTTTTAAAATTTATTTTTAAAAAGAAATATGTGTAAAGATACTTTTTAATATGATAAGAATTACATAAAAAATAATTAAGTAAGAGCACATTTAAAAAATATATTTTAACCATATAAAAAAATAAAACAAGAACATATGTAAGAAAAATTACTTTGATATAAGTGAAATGGGAAAAAATATATTTTTAAAAAACAGATAAAAAATTAAAATGTAACAAAAATTCAAAAAACAATTTGAAAATAAAAAATGGAGATAAAAAAGTTTTTAAAAAAAGAAAAAAAGAGATAAAAGAAGGGGCTACTTGGCAACCTCATAGAAAATAGTTTTAACACTTGTATGTTTATTATATTAGATAGAAAAGGCACTTTTTATTTTGACTATATCAAACGGTTAGAACTTATCTAAATGATAAAGAGGTCTTACCATAAAAAAGTCTTAAAAAAAGGAAAACACAAAAAAAATGCTAACTAAAAATTAAAAAATAAGAAAAAAAGAGTATGAAAAATGCCCTTTTTATTTTGACCATATTCAAAGTTAGGAACTGACTCTAACAATAAATAGGTTTAGCAAAAAAAGTCTTAAAAAAAGAAAAACACAAAAAGAAAGCCAAATAACGATTTTTTTTTTAAAAAAAAGAGAAAAAAAGTAATAAAAAAATCAAAAGCTTTCTTCACCCATATCGCCACGTGGCAACACGAGAGAAGGAAAACTCTTTTATGTTTATTAGATTAGATTAGATAGAAAAATACTCTTATTTTGACTATATCCAACTGTTAAAAATTGACTCTAACGATAAATATAACATATCAGAGGAAGTCCTTAAAAAAAACACAAAAAGAATGCCAAATAAAAATTTAAAAAAAGAAAAAAAAAGAGTATTAAAAAAGGTCATCTTGACTATATCCAATAGTTAGAATCTAATAAAGAGATCCTACAAAAGAAAGTCCTAAAAAAAAGAAAACACAAAAAAAAAACTCAAATAAAAATAAAAAAACGAAAAGATAAAAAAAAGAGTAATAAAAGAGCTAAAGACTCTCTTCTCTCATGCCTCTACGTGCCAACATGGGAGAAGAGAGTCTTTAGCTCTTTTTTATTATATACTAATTGAGTCACGTGCTATACACGTGGAAGAATAACTTTTATGAGTTGAGATCCCACGTCAAAACACGTAGCGTTCTTAAAAATTAAGTCCATTAATTAGAACAAAGGGAAAAAAAATTCAAAAGATCATATAAAAAAAGAATCAAAATTATATAAATGTTATGAAAAGAAAAATAAAGTAAGGGGATATTAATATTTTTTGTAAAATATTTTACTCATATAAATATTACATTTGGCCCCTAAATTTTGAAAAATTACAATTAAATCTTAAATTTTTATAAAAATTTATTAATAGGTGTCTGATGCTTTTCTTAATGTGCTCTAGTTAAAAGTTATACTATGCTTCAGCAAGAATAGCAATGTCCCCTTTTAAGGGGATTTGAACGTGGGTTGGACAAATATTTATCCAATTTCGTCCTTTAAAAATGCTCACTAAACACAATACTAAGATTTAATCATATCTAATCATCTACAATCTTGCACATTTGTAATAGTCATACTGTTATTTTTTATTATTATTATTATTTTTTACAATAACATAGGATAAAGATAAATTCTTTTACAAAAAAGAAAAAAGAACCATAAAACGGGAGCGTTTGGTAGAGGGATTCGTTCCCTGATTCAAATCATGATTCGTGGTTCGCTATAGTATTTTCTTTCACAAAAAATACACGTAAATAAAAAATAGTTCGAATCACATAGTTTCAATCTTCCAACTAAACGAACCCTAAAATGTCCTACGCACGACTGTAAACTAGTATTATTTATAAATAGAAAACGAAAATATTCTCACGCGGTTACGTAATTCGGTAATTGAACTAAAAAAAAAAAAATTGTCACGGTTACATTTCTCTACTCACGTCGAAGGTCTTACACTATATATGAATATACATAAGGTACCTTATGTAATGTCCCGAAAGAGTCTGTGAGTCCTCAGTCCCGTTCAAGTTAAAGAAAAGGGAATTTCAAAGCGGTCTCAGGTAAATATATCATTTGCATTTCTTTTTGTTTTTATTGAATAAATTGTTCACTCATTACGCAGCTGGTTCATCAAGATATGCAATTATGCGTCGAGGCTCGGGGCCAACTCAGGCCTATTTTAATATAGTATTGGGTTTAATATGGCACGACACCACATTATTTAAAAAATACATGGTCTAACCTATTAATATTGTTGGGGTAAAAAAGGGGCCGACTTACCTAGGCTGGATTGGCTTGACCCAGGACTCATGTGGGCCCAAGAATAATGGGCCACGCGAGGCGAGGCCTGCCCATTCTTGCATTACAAGGTTCAGGATGGATGTTGAATTGAAAAGACAAGAAGCTGTGGATTTCAAGAAAAGTCTAATCCAATAGGTTTTAGCATTATGATATTTCATAATATTAAAACAATTCTTTTACCTTCTATAATAATCTGAAATATGTAATTTATATGTGAATTGATGCAGGAAATATGTAATTTATGAGGATTTCATTGAATTATCAGACAAGTATGGTAATATTTCTTCTTACGCCGAGAGTCATATTGCTTTGGCCTTTACTGGGTTCATTCGTACTATGGAAGCTATGTTGAAGTAGGAAAAAATTGCATGTTTTTTAGGCTTAAAAATTAAATATATTAGCGTTTGTTTGATATTATATATATACACACACATTAGGACGTGTTGGCGTGCAAAAATTCAACAATTTATGTTAATTAGCTTACCTTTATTACTTTGAAAATTTGTAAACTACGAGTATCTAATTTGTTGATTCATGGGGAATTTTAAATTTTGATATTTATAGTGATTGTATAAGTTTCAATTAAGTCTAACTGCTAGAACCTCTTAACATATATAGTAAAGATATAACATTTAAAATTTGAAAACATTTTGCAATTAGCTTGTGTTGTGTTATTACGATAAGGACGTTTTTGTAACATTTTTAAAAGTTAGGACCAAATTGTAATTTTTGAAACTTGAGAGGCAAAAAATATAATTTTTTTGTAAAAACATTTTACTTTCAAAGACTTATTAGAAGACTTGCAAAGACCGGTTCTGCTCGGGGATATATATCTTTGGATAGAAGGAATCAGTCTTGGCTAAGCCTTAGGCTAGTGAGTCCAAAGAGGCAGAGGCAAAGGTAGAGGCAGAGTGAGTAAGGCAATGTTTTACTCATTTAAATATTTCATTTTGACTCTTAAATTTTTTTAAAATTACATTTAGACTCTAAATTTTATAAAAATTTACAAATAGGTCATTGATACTTTTCACAATGTGCTCTAGTTAAAAGTTATCCTATGCTTCAACAAGGAGAGCAACATCCCAGGAAGTCAAGTTGATGACTGTACAAGGCAAATCTTCACCAAAACAACTCAAATAAAAATCTCCAAGGTTTGGGGCATCAATATCAACCCTAAAAAAATAGAGATGAAATAATCACAACCTCCTCAAGTCTATTGAGCTTGGATATGTCTGTTAAAGTATAAAACTATTTTTGACCTACTTCCTAACAGTTTAAGCTTTTGGGATGGATTGGTAAACTAACATGGTATTAGAGCAGGTGGTACTGAGTTCAAACTCTCATAATTGCACTCTTTATTCCCATTTAAATTGTCATCATGTGTTGGGTCTTTGAGGAGGAGTGTTAAAGTATAAAATTATTATTGACCCACCTCATAACAGCTTAAGCTTTTGGGATGGACTGATAAACTAACAATGTCTAGCTTTTGCTGTCCCGTACAACTCACAAAATAGAGGGAGCGCTTGTTTGGACAATTGTGGATGATATCCTGGATTGACTTTTCACTTAGAAAAATCCATCCGAGATTCAATTTTTGAAGAGAACAATATTTTATTGGATTCGAAATGAGCGCTTCGCTTGCATGCAAGGCGGCACGCCAGGTAGAGCTATCGCGCGCGAGCAAAGGAGATGCATTTCTGGGACTGGTAGTACTAGACAAGCTCTCAGGGAATAATCTCTTTCTTATTTCTGCCTTTCTTTCCCATGACGACTACGAACGGGCAAATAAAAAATTTCACTTCGAATTCCGGACGTTCGAGACGGATTAGTAACCACTTATCGGAGGGTAAGGTTTGTAGAGAGATAAGTAAATCTCAACGGCACCACCCTGGAGAGCTAATTCTAGACATTCATCAACTTTGCAAGCGAAGTTAGGATCAACAAGAGTTATCATGAGATGAAACTTCTGCACTTTTCCCTTACAAAGAGAGAACCTCATCAAGGAATTTTTCTCACCATTCAGGAAATTGCCAACTTGTTCTGGAGAAAGCCGAGAAGAGGCCTTAACGTCAGTGGAATGAATCTTCAGATAAGTGTATTGG